GCAACAATGAATGAATGGAATTCCAAAATCTCTGTAGATGTTCATTGAAATGAAAAATAAATAAATTAAAATATATTAAAAAAATCAGCCTCATTTGACGGGTGGGGAAACCAAGGCCAAGGGGGCCACTGGAACTAGAAATGGCCCTGTAGCTTCCCTCTGCTTGAAGATGCTGAGTGTTGTCCTGTTGTGATACCACCTCCAGGACTCCAGGGGTGCAGTTAGTTAGTGCTCGGTTGCTAAGAGGTCGGTGGTTCGAATCACTCCAGCGACTCCAGAGAAGGAAGGCTTGACAGTTTGCTCCCCAGATCCCAGCGCATGAAGCCCTGCTGGGTCTCTGTCCCTTCACACAGGTCACTATGGATCAGAAGCCACTCAGCAATGCCACCACCAAAACTCCTGATGGTGAGAAACTATGCATTGGCCTGTGCTCCCTGGTGACGCGTCTAAATCAGTGGCTTTTGACAGTGCAGCTGGCTGTGATGCAGACCACTCTCCTGAAATGCTCTGAGTGTCTGACAGAGGGGACAGGGCACTGGGCCCGACGCGGGGTAAGGCCAAGGCAAGCCGCCTGGCCGCCTTTTCTTCCTCCCTGGCCCATTCCTCGGACTCTCCAGTGGGTTGGCTAGGACGCAGCTTGGACACCATTGCTCTAAGGCATGTTTGAGCTCCAGGCGCCAGCCTCAAACCCTTGGGGTTGTCACCCTCTTTGCAACCCGAAGTGGCCTCTTATGAATGGCCCGAAGCCCTTGAAGCCCAGAAGACATGTGGTTACCCAGCCCTGGGACGCTGGTGGACAGCCTGGAGGAGGTGACTTAAACAGAATGTCTACCATTGATCCTTCACTTGGGGAGGTGGGGTTGGAGGTAGAATTACAGCCTCTTCTTTCCAGGTCAGCCCTCCCCACAACCCCATAGAACCACAAGCCAACCCCGGACTGACGTCTTCTGTTGGCATTCAACGTGTGAGCTGCCCTCTGACCCCCTTGTGTTTTTGGAGTTGGCTGGGGTGAGGGTTAATGACCAGAACACAGTACACAACAAACATCGCAACAGAACAACAAACTTACTTCTCTGCCCACTGCCCCTGAGACTTCTGGGCTGTGATCAGTAGGTGGGATTGGAAAGAATGGGTGGTGGATGGTGTATACCTAGGATCCAAGAACTCCATCCCTTTCAGCTGGGACCCACTCTGATCCCAGAGTCCAGGTCTGAGCCCTACACAGCATGTTCCATCCAGAGGACAGGGTGCTGGCCGAAGGACAGCAGAGCAGGGCCTGGCCGCTCCCCTCACTTGGCCACCCTCCAAGGGCCCTGGGCCAGAGCAGTGACCTCCTCTCAACCTCTGCTCTCCCTCAGCAATTACAGTAACTAGGTTCCAGGTGAGGTCATCATGGGAAATAACTGGCCGCAGGCGTCCTCCTTCCTGTGCTCCTTCCTTTGCTGGGGGCCCTCCACTCTTCAACCTTTGCTCAAATGCCACCTTTGCCTCTGGCCGCGTGTGTCACCTTGTGCTTCAATGACACCCCCGCTGGGTCCATCCAGTGAGGATGAAATAAAACACCCAAGGTCAGCACCGGTTCTGGAGCCCAGGATCTTGATGTAAGTCACAAGCCTACCTCTCATTATTACTATTTGTTGTTGTTATTGTTGAGAACACACGCACAAATGCAACAGTTTTTACACATACAATTCAGAGACACTGCTGATGACATTCCTCCAGTTGGGAAATTCTCTCTCTTCTTTCAAGCTGTTGCTTCCCCATCAACAATCAACTCACTGTTCCCTAAGTTTCCTGTCTAAACTGTCAAGTGACTATTGTCAGTTTACCGCTGTATCGACAGACCTCAAGAATATAATGCTCAAGGCAGAAACTCCCGACTAGTTACAACATTGCCTGGTTTTAAGACTTCAGGGCATATTTTTGGTTTGAGGTTGAAGATGATTACAGGGCAACAGCTTCAGTCGTTCATCATTCTCCAGGACTCCAGAAGGTCTGGGTGTTGTGAGAATTGGAGATGCTCTTCAGCCTTTCTCCCTTTTGGATCAGGATTCCCTGTGGAATCTTTGACCACAATATTCCCCTGTGGCAGGCAGCACCTTCTGGGGCTGAGGGTGCTCCCGGAGGAGGCCGTTCTCG